CGGGCCACGTCATCATGTCCATTCATAGCAAGCTGCAGAATAAGGTACATGTGATTGAGGCTCTTCATGGAGCCAAGTTCAAGCTCCCTGGCCACCAGAAGATCCACATCTCAGAGATGTGGGACTTCAAGTTTAATGCCGATGACCTTGAAGACAGTGTGGCTGAGAAGCAGCTAATTCCTGATGGCTGTGCCGGCAAATGTATCTCCAGCTGTGGTCCCCTGGACAAGTGGTGAGGCTCGCATTCCTGAGGGTTCCACAGTGCTCTCCAGTACCCTACCAAATCATGCTCAGTAACAGATCTCACATGCCACCTGAAAGAAACAAACAAAACAAACAAAAAAAGAGCTGTTACCCACATTTTTGTCCGGCCATATTTTCTGGCCCTATTCTGATTGACCCTCTGTACACAAAGTCTCAACACACTGTGTAACCCCTCAGAGGATGGAAGTAAAAACAGCGAGATAAGCAGGAATTCAAAAGAAACCCATGGAAGAAGGGACAGTCATGCCCTAAGAGCCACATGAACAATTTCAAACAGTCAAAACATTTTTTTCCTCTCTTAAGCCTGAGTGAATTCATTGAGAAAGGAGTTTATGATGTGTTTTTAGGAGACAGAAATACTGAGGCACTATAAGATGTGTTCTTAAAATAAAATTTAAAACATGGTAAGATTTGTCTGAGAAAACCACCTGGAGATGCCTCCCCCACCCCTTCTCAGGGCAAAGGGCAGGGGAGAGGAGAGTCAGCTCCATGCCACACTGCACAATATTATGCTGATAAAATTTCATTACATTTGAAGCATCTGCAGCAAGTCTGGAGCAAGCATTAAATACAAAGAAAAATTGCCAGTGTGCAAGAGAATCCAAGATAAAGCCGGCAGAAGCCGGTTGTAAACAGGGCTGTGTCAGCAGAAACTGATTAGGAAGCCAGAACTATTCCTCAAGTAGATAGAGAGTGTCACAGCTAGGACCCAAACTCTTGGGGACTGACTGAAACAGTAAAAGACCCTTTTTGCCACAGGAGATTAGAGGTGGCGTTTGCCTGCATGCATGATACCATTCAGTTTCCTTCAAAAATGCAGTAGCTTCCAGTCACAGACCGGCTCACCTGTGACACTGGGCAGGTGATGGGGGAGAGGGGTTGACGGCACTGGCTAGGCAACAGCGGGTGAGAAAACGCCTTTTGCCCAGGCTCCTCAGGTTTGGCATGGCAGGACACTGAGTTCCCAGACTCTCAGCTGGTTGAAGATACATGTGTGAACCCTTGTGCACTCAGGAAGAATTTGGACAAGGCATTCTCTTTGTTCATAAAACTAAACTCTTGGGGTGTAATACAAGGGGGAAACTTAACTTTTTGTTTTTGTTTTATGTTGGGTATCAAAGGGTCAGAGGGCAAGTCTCATCTGGGATGGTTGGTTGGATCTAGGAAATCCAAGTAATATAGGCATTTCATTTAATCTACATGGACATGGGAATCTTCACAAGAGACTGAAGTCTAATGAAATGACTAAAGCCTGATATTTTTGTGCTTTTAGACAGTGAAGAACAAATCTGGGAAGGAATGACGAGACAAATGGATCTCTAGACTACACTGCTAAATTCTATGTTATTAAGAAGTACACAGAGAAGGGGTATAATTTGAGAGTCACTTCACAGTCTGTTTATTCAAATTAGACTCCTAACTAGCTGCAGTTAGAGTCTTTGGCTATGCTGCAGCCTTGGTGTGTGAAGGATACATCCAGGAAGAATCTCCAGGGCTTGCTGAGAATGGACATGGACAGGTCAGATGACCTTCCCTAAAGTTGTGTGTTTAGGTTTCTGGAAACCCATATTTTTAGAAACCCAGCTATCCCTTTAAGAGCATATTGGTAACATTTTCTGTTTTGTAGATGGAGAGGTAACTCAGCCATTAAGAGTGAAAAGAAAAGAATTGGTTCAGGACCCCCAGACCAAGTTCTCAACACAAAGGAGATTTGCCCCAGAGGGACAGAGGGCAGGAAATACAAGACAAATAAAGGAGACAGAGATGAGGGAGAAGGAGAAGGGAACAAGGGGAGGGGGCAGGGATAGTTGTCCCAGAGTGGGATAGATAGGAGACAGGCGTGGCCCATAGGAAAAAGTCAATTTATAAAGGTATAGGGGGAAACCTGTGTCAGAATGAGGTATTTAATTTTAATTGAGCATGTTAATTAGGTGAGCCAAAGGGGTCTTTAATTGCTGGACTACAATACTTTGATAGCTGGACCTTGGTAGTCTCAGGAGGAGGAAGTGGCCAAATGAAGGGAGTAGACTTTGGTGGCTAGCTTTTAGGAAGGTAGTCTAATGGTTTTGTGTGTGTGTGTGTGAAGAAAAGAGAATCAGGGAGAAGGACAAGGCCTGCCAGAGCCATACTTGTCACACTCAAACTGGCCAGAGTCCCTTCAAAGAGCACTGGCTGCTCCTCCAGAAGATTGGGGTTCAGTTCCTAGCATCCACATACAGGCTCATAGTCATCTGTAACTTCAGGTCCAGAGAATCTGATGCCCTCTTCTGGACACTGAGGGCACTTCACACATATGGGGTACAGATATCCATACAGGCAAACACCTACACATAAAATAAAAATAAATAACTAAAATTTTTTTTAAGTTTCCCTGTTTTCATTCTTAGAAATGTTTCTTGTTTTCTATCAGGTTTTGTTACTTTTCTGCTTCTGGAAACTTTTGTTTTGCTTTCTTCTTCTTTTTTATTATATAGATTCATTTATTTATTATGTATACAGTGTTCTGCCTGCATGTATGCCTGCAGGCCAGAAAAGGGCACCAGATCTCATTACAGATGGTTGTGAGCCACCATGTGGTTGCTGGGAATTGAACTTCAGACCTTTGGAAGAGCAGGCAATGCTCCTAAGTACTGAGCCATCTCTCCGGCCCTATTTTGCTTTATTCTTAATATCTGAAGTATGTGGGAAATTTACTGAATTCCAGTTTGTCAGTATCTTATGAATGAAATTTTATTTTCTTATTGTTAGATTTTTGTTTTGTATTATGGATTTTCTGAGTTTAGATGAGTGACATTTCAGAGACTGTGAATAAATTTCCAGAGGAGGCCTTGGCCAGCATGGCTCCTCCTCCCTTGCCTTCTCTCTACTCTTCTGAGAGTATGGAAATGGGATGGTGGGCCTCATGTTCCCTGAATCACTACAGTGTGGATCCCTCTTCTCAGACAACTCTAGCTTTTGCCAAGTTGATGTAAACTATCCAGCACATGGATAGTTAACAGTGGTTCAGAGACCCATGCATATGTGTGTGCACATGTACCTGTGCCTTGCAGTGGACAGTGGTCTAGGGAAAGCTATGTGGGAATTTACTCTGGGGCATTAGGCTCCTTCTATAGCTCAGCTGCAGTTTAGTGACCTCAGTTGGGAGGATTCCCCACAGTACTGTATCCAGCTAGCCCCATGACATGATTTCTGATCTCTGAGCTTCACAAAGACCCTCAGAGTATGCAGTTTCTCTGCCCTTAGCGCTGAGATAGCTTTTACCTGTCCCAGGAATGCTTACACCTTACCCTGAAGTCCTAACTGGTGTTAATTCTCCAAATGTACTTTCTGCAGAGCAACAGCTTCGCCCTTTGATTTGCAGGGTCTAGGATACCATTTTCTGATATGCATTCTGTCTTGCCATTTCCTTTAACTGGGCAAAGTCAACTAAAGTTCAATTTATCCCAAACCTCTTGATCTTGAAACAATCTTGCCTTCAGGAAAGTGGGCTCCCAGGTGGGAGGGACAGTGTTCTTGACAGGACATTGTCCTTTAGACAGGAGTTTCTGTCCCACCCAGTCCTGCAGCTGTTTAGTCCCAAATAAGCACACAGAGGCTTATATTAATTATAGACGGTTTGGCAATGGCTCAGGCTTCTTATTGGATAGTTCTCTCTTAATTATTAACCCATTTCTATTAATCTGTGCATCTCCACATGGTCTTGGCTTACCGGTGATGCCCAGATCTCTTGCTCCCTCGGCAGCTACATGGCATCTCCCTGGAGACTTACTCTCTGTCTTCCCCTTCCCAGCATTCTCCTAGTCTGATATCCCCACCTATATTTCCTGTCTGGCTACATCCTGCCTGCCTATTGGTCAAAACAGCTTTATTCATCAACCATTAAGAGAAGCATATCCCCAGCATACAGAAGGACATCCCTCGTCATTGTCCTTTTGGAGGTTGTACCTCAAGGCCCATATCACAGGGTGACTTGAAAAGCTCCTTTGAGCCTCCCTCCCATACCAGACACATATGGGTCAGGGACCCTGATAACTGAAGATCTAGCCTTGGGTTCCCTGTGTCTTGTGTAGACTTCTCCAAGGATGCCCTCTGGACAGCATCCTGTTGTCCCTTGGAAACAGGAGAGGTGTCTGTTCCCTTGAAACACAGGCCCTCCTATCATAGCATACTCCAGCTGTGAGCCTTGCACTTCCCATCGGCCACTTTGGTGGCCAGAGTGAAGAAATGGCAGCCTAATGACCTCTGTGGCTGCGCGGGACCTCTCAGATTCACCATGCCCTTAGTGTCCAGAGTTGCAAACACAGCTAAGACACTAAACACCGAAACCACTTGATAGTCTGTCTGCCCTTTGTCCTTAGGTAGGTCCATTTTATTGTCCTCCTAAAGGAGCAAATACCATTCCTTGTTTGTTTTGCAAATTGACCAAGGTCTCGCAGTTCCAGGGACAGGACTAAACTTTTGGGCTAGCAACAGGCAGAGTGATAAGAGGAGGGGAAAGAAGAAGAAATCATGGCATTTCCAACATCTGGCCTTTCTCCAGGGGCACTGGCAGCTTGGGCGGGGGGGGGGGGGATAGGCAGGGGGAGTAGGAGGTGGTGGCACAGCGCAGGCAGGGTCAGGGCCTGCCGAGCCAAGCATCTGGCTTTAGGGGTTGGAAGACCTTGAGGAGAGCCTATCCTAACAGGGGCGGGAATGGGCTGAGAAGCAGGGGGCGGGGCCACGAAGGGAGGGCGGGGCTCACTGCTAGTCCTGCTGCTTTTCTCTTTGTGCAACAGGGTACAATCACAGTTTACATAGCTCCGCTGAAGCCAGACAGCACCAGCATCATGCCCATGACACTGGGTTACTGGGATATCCGTGGGGTGAGAGAGAGGGGTCTGACATTAGACATTAGAGTGCGATGGGGACGCGGGGTGGGAATGTGGGGAGTAGTGGGGAGCTGGTCTGGGCCTTGCTGGATTCAGCCTGTGCTTCTCAGAGCTCTAGATGTTTGAGATTAGTCTCTCTCTCTCCCTCTCCCTTCCCTGGTGTGTGTGTGTGTGCGTGCATGCGTGTGTGTGTGTGTGTGTGTGTGTGTGTGTGTGCGTGTGCGCGTGTGTAAGAGGTCCCAGTGCCTCTCTGATGAACCATGTCTCCTAGTTGTGTCACGCCATCCGCCTGCTCCTGGAATACACAGAGACAAGCTATGAGGAGAAGAGATACACCATGGGGGACGGTAATGACACCCTCTTAGACTCTTGTCCAACTTCTGATTGGTGGCCCTCAAAAGTCCCTGGTCCTGACCTCTTGTTGCCCAAATCTGTGGGCCTCTTCCAGCGAGCACTAGAGTCTACACCTTCAAGAAACCCCTGTGAAGGCAGTTTCGTCTTCCAATGCAGGGCTATGACTTTTCCACTATTTGTGATTTAGCATTTACCTAAACCTTTTGTAAACCTTAGATATGCTAGTCCCACAGTCCCAAACACACATTGCTCCTGTAACCTTGGAATATGATACTCAAGTGTGAGAGGTGCAGATTCCCTGCCTAAGGGAATCTGAGGGCATGGGGTGAGGGTCGCCTGACTCCCTGCTCAGGTTCCTGTAGGAGGGTGGGAACTAAGGTGATCTCTTTTCACATTCTCTTGTCCCTACAGCTCCTGACTATGACCAAAGCCAGTGGCTGAGTGAGAAGTTCAAGCTGGGCCTGGACTTTCCCAATGTAGGTGCAGGGAAGGGGAGGTCTGGGGAGGGCATGGCGTCCTCACCTCATCTCCTCACCTGGGTGAGGGCTTTGGGATCAGAGATTCAGCTCTCCTGCTCCCATCCTGGAGACTGCACAGTGTTTCTGTGATGGGCTGTGTCCAGCTCTTCCATTCAGGGTGCACTGTGCTGGTGGAGGGCTTTCCATGCCAGGCACACTGAGTGCCAGCCCCCGTGTCTGTCCTTACCAGAGAAGGGGTGTAGGACCCCCAGATCCTCTGAGCATTTTGCTTGTCCTTCCAGCTGCCCTACTTAATTGATGGGTCACACAAGATCACCCAGAGCAACGCCATCCTGCGCTACATCGCCCGCAAGCACAACCTGTGTGAGTGGGGCTGGCTGTAAGGTGGCGCCTGGTGGTCACCTCTCTGGGCTTGGCTGGGGTGGGATGCCGAGAGTCTCTGCTGTGTGTGCTGCAGGTGGGGAGACAGAAGAGGAGAAGATTCGTATTGACATTTTGGAGAACCAGGTCATGGACACCCGTATGCAGCTTGTGATGGTCTGCTACAACCCTGAGTTTGTGAGTTGCCCAGTGGATGGGGAAGACAGGGTTAGGAGTTAAAGTCCTATGTTCACGACTTTATTGGTCAAGTTTAGCATTTGACTCTAGTGGTACTGATTCTCTAAGGACTTACGTATCCCAGCAACAAAGTGGCCTTCATGACTCCAGAATCTTGCCAAATAACAACCATTGAGTCAGTTTCTATCACTCCTAGGATACGGTTTAGATTCCTCAAACTAGAAATACAGTTTTTAGACATTAGAGTATGTATTCAGAGTCCTTTTCATCTCCTTCTGTCCCAGCTATTCATGTCATCTGTCTGCTCCTACAATATGAGTTAAAATTAAAAAATGGGGGAGGGTGCTATATACCATGTCCCCTGACGTCTCTCAGAGCTCAGCTGTCTCTCCTTCCAGAACTGTGCCCTCAGTAGTCACAGGAATCAGGACTGCTTCCCAAGAGGCAGCTCGGAGGTTGGCCAGAGGGACAATGTCCATGCCAGTCCTTCCTTTCAACATCAAACATTCCTTCACTTTATAAAAAGTACTCAAATAGCCACTGTTCCGCCATCCACTAGGAAGAGTTTTGCCTTCTCCCCTGAGTTCTTTTAGTATGTTGCTTCTTTGATGGCACGAGCTGAGTCCAGAGTGTGTCAGGTACATGGTCCATTGCTTTCCCCACACCATCTCAGGAGAAACAGAAGTCTGAGTACTTAAAGGGTCTCCCTGAGAAGATGAAGCTCTACTCGGAGTTCCTGGGAAAGCGGCCATGGTTTGCAGGGGACAAGGTAAAGAGAGGGAGGTTGGTGGGGAGGAGGAGTTGCCATTCTTCCCGGGCTAGGAGACCCCATCCCACTGACTCTGGCTTCCTGCAGATCACCTATGTGGATTTCCTCGCTTATGATGTCCTTGACCAGCAACAACTGTTTGAGCCCAAGTGCCTGGATGCCTTCCCAAACCTGAAGGACTTCAAGGCCCGCTTTGAGGTGACTCTCTCATCCGGCTTCCTCTTCCTTCCACCTTTCCAGGATGATTTTCTAATCTTTTAAATTAAAAGAGTGGTTAGCATTGCTTGAGCACTGGATATCTGGGAGGACCCATGCTCAGCACAGGATCGGATGTATCGCTACAGGATTGCTATGAGGTGGATAAAATTACCAGGCCCCGAAGACCAGGGCTTGTGTGAGTCTTCCTAGCTGACCTGCAGAGCTGTCTACTTCCCACACCCCCACCGGGCACCCATGGAGAACTCAGGCTGTAGAAGGAGCACGGATTGAGCGCAGCCCTCACAGGAGGGTGGCATCCAGGTCCCTGTGTTTGATGCCTCCCCAAATCTACTTTATTAGACAGTTGAAAGCATTAGCTTAACGTGCATGCGTGTGTGGTGTTGGTTTGGTCTCTTTCCTTCCTCCCTCCCTCCCCCTCTATTTCTCCCTCCCTCCCTCCCTTTCCCCTTCCCTCCCTCCCTCCCCCACCTCCCAGGCCTGGAATCTGTTTTCATTCCCCACTTCCTATCGAACGGTGTGCCTTCTCAGCTAGTTCCCTTTAGTTCTGGTTTTGGTCCAAGTTGAATGGCTTTGGGGATTATGCAAGAGATGGCATCACCATGGGGAAAGGGGGAAGGGAGAGTTAAAAGCTGCTGCCTGAGGCCTGGTGCTCTGCCCTGATCAGCAGTTAGCTATCTGAGAACTGACTCTTGGTAAAATTCACACAGAGTGATGGACTGAGTTTGTTATGGTCCCTGTGTTAGAACTAGAGATACGTTTGATTGGGGCATGGTAATATTGGGCTCAGGTACCAGGTGGAGAAATTTGGACTGTCTTCCCTCTGGGAATGGATCAGAACCCTGCCCCGCTCTTCCTGGTGGGCCTCCCTCCATCTTAGATACTCCCACCCAGGATTTGTTGAGTCATGGGGTGAGAACTGGGCTCATTTTAGGCTCCTCAGGCATGCTCTGTGAACTGCTTTTCCCCTGCCAACCCCTTCCTCCCGTGTGCAAATGCAGGCAGGCGTGTCTCTGTGAGAAAAGACTAGGCCTGTACAGACAGTGACAGGGCTGTGTGGATAGGAACAAGTTACGTTACCTCTCTGGACTTCAGGTTCCCTCCTGAAAAATGATCAGCAGGATCATTGAGTGGTTTTTCCAAACCCATAATGTACTGTCTAGAGGACACCAAACCCTCAGTCTAGTGCTGTTTCTCCATTGCCGTCCCTCTTGAGGTAGGACACTAGGGAAAGGAATTTGAAGAAATTCCTTTTCAAGGCTGAGGCTGACTGTGCTGCTCTGAATCTTGGGCCCAAATGGAGCCCATGGGGTGCAGCTGGTTGACCCCGTGGGCCTACAGACCTGAACTCTGCTGCTGTCTCCTTCCCACTCACAGGCCCTGAAGAAGATCTCTGCCTACATGAAGTCTAGCCGCTTCCTTCCAAGGCCGATGTATCTGAAGAAAGCCAAGTGGGGTAACAAGTAGAACCCCTTAATAGCAGGGCCAGGAGGAGATCTATGGCTGTTTGCTGGCCCTTTGCCTGGGGCACATCTGGGTCTCATTCCTTCCCTTCTTTCGTTCTCTTCCCCTCTGAAAGGCCTTAGCAACCCCCCTTTTCCACTCAGCTTCTCCCAAGTCAGCTTCTGTAACTCCATCTCCCCATTTCTTCAGAGTCCCTTCCTTCCCTTCCTTTTCTTTGTCCTTGATCCAACTGGCCTTCAGCTTTGCTGAGCTTAATGAAGGGATGCACTTGGCTCTGTGACTTCCCAGCTCTTCCAGAGAAACCAGTCCTGCCTATGTGCAGGTTCCCACCCTCAGTGTGAGGCTGCCAGCATTGTCAGAAAGACCAGGCTACTAATTTGTAGACCCTAGTCCTCTAGTATGGGACTTTTCTTGCCCTGGCTGATCCCCAATAAAGTCTGAACCACATTTGCTCTGTGTCCTGTTGCCTGTGGCTCTCAGAACTGCGTTGACTTGTTTGGGTGGTCATTGTTCTGTGTCCGTAGAAGGGACAGGTGGTTTTATGTGTGTATGTGTGTGTGAGAGAGAGGGGGAGGGAGAGAGGGAGAGAGGGAGAGAGAGATCTTGATGGTCACACAAAGTATAAGATCACTTACATTTTTGATGCTCCAGTCATTAATTCTGTGTTGCCCACCCTGGGATTCCTATAGGAGGGTGCTGCTTCTGTGCTGGGGTTCCTCATTCATTCAGCAGTCCTGTGCCTCCTCTACAGGAGTGTGCAGAGATTCTGGGCTGATGGGAGGGAGCTCCACTAGGCTAAGCACCTTTTGTGTCCTTCTCCCAGAAGCTTTCCCTAAACTAGACACCTCTCCTCCTATTCTCAGGATGTTTCCCCATGAACACTCCCCATTGTTTGCAGTTTGTGTCTGGGGTATTTTACCAAACTCCATCGTAAGTTGATCAAGGGGAAGATGCAGGTCCTGTTGAGTTTTTCATCTCTGATATGTATTAAAGAGCCTAGCCCACCGTCATTACTCTTGCAATTCGGAAATTGTAAAGCACTGTGCTCAGCAATGCTTGTGCCAAACTATACAGCCAGCAGCATTTAGCACTCTGGGAATTAGCCTGGGGAGGTATAGTATGAGATGCAGAGAGTTTCCACATTCAGAGTCTCCCCCATCCAAGGATTTAAGAGGCTCCCCAGCTGCCCTTGGAAAAGCATGGTCTGAGATGGGGCAGGCCTAGTTTGCCGACTGCAGCCCAGCAGTGTGTGATCAGCTGCGCCGTGGTATTTTGTATCAGCTCATCCGCAAAGGAGCTGGACTCATTGGAGGAGCATCTGCTGGAGAGGTTCCTGTGTCAGCCGCTGGACCCTGGATTCTGACCTTGGTCAGCACTGCCTGTAATAGGGAGTGGATTTGGAGGAGGTCCCTGCTGGACATTGTTCATATGCCAACTGTCAGAAGTTACCTGCTGCTATTAAGAAACTCAGGACTGTAGGCAACTTGTGAGGGTTATTGTGAAATAAATCGAGCCATTAAAATATGGCGTCATGTGTGATGGTGTACGCCTTCCATCCTAGCAATCACAAGGCAGAGGCAGGGGAATCTGTGAGTTTAAGGCCAGTTTTGTCTACATAATGAATTCTAAGCCAGCTTGGGCTGCATAGAGTGATTGGGTCTCTTGGTATCAATAAAATAAATTTAAAAACTAGTAATATCAAAGCCCAGAGATGCCCAAAATTTGTGAAATTTGTAAGATCAAAATTAGTTAGCCTATAGGTTCATTAAACATTAGAAATAAATAAAATTTAGAAAGGAGACAACATTAGTTTATAAGGCAGTAGTATAACATTCACCCAGCATGCAAAGAGCTTCAAAAAAATAAAAGTTAAATAAGATGAAAAAAAGCAATGGAAGTTAGAAGTATAATAAAAGTTAACTAGAAAGAATGCAATATTAATCCAGACTGCAGGATACTTGGATTTAAAGCAGACTTGCAAACACTTCCCACACAGGCTAATATTGTGGGTGGACTGCAATATAGTGTCCTTCACACCCTTCGTCTCTGCCTCGTTCCTGTAGAAGCAGCCATAGGTCAGGCATAATGAATAGTTAGAGCTGAGCCCAGCGTAACCACAATGAAAAGCAAACATCACCACTCAAAACTGGACAAGACTTGAACAGCCGTTTCTCTTTAAAAGACACACAAATGCCAGGAAGCCTTCGGAAAAGCACGAGTTGTTCATTGTTAGAGAAAGGTACAGCTAAACTGCAACGCGGTTCTACTTCACGCACATTAGGATGGCTACTATGATAACTCAAAAAATTAAACATTTGGTCAGGGTGTGGAGGCATGAATGCCTTTCCCATCATTGGTGGGAATGTGTAAGCGTGGTTCCTCAAAAGATTAAAAGTAGAGAAATATAGAACAAGATACCCGCTTAGTGTGACCCGGTAATCTTCTCTGAAGACAGACAGACCTGGTGTAATGTGGCTTAAAATGGAACCTTTAGTGAGCGGTCCCACACGGTGAGGGACAGATGGCTGGTGGGAGACAGAGACCTATGAGTATGACTTATGTAGAAAGTTTTTGGGTGAAGGTAAGGGAGTAAGAGAAAGGAAGAGAGAAGAGAGAGACAAAGAGATAGATAGGTAGATAGATAGACAGACAGACAAACAGACAGCTGCCCTCTCAGAGAAAAGACAGAAAGACAGGAAGTGGGCCGAGTTTTTCTCTTAAAGGGACCTTTGCATTTGCCTACAGAGCCAGGGTATTGCTTTGCAAGGTTCCCAAGGGGCGTGGCAATGTTTGCCTGGATTATTACAATACCCACTGACAGGATTACAATATTCACAGAGCTAAGAAAGCCAGATGAACCATGGGCATATCTCTAATCCCAACCCTTGGGAAGCTGAGGCAGGAATATCCTAAGCTCTGAGCCAGCTTGAACTGCATATCAAGACCCTGTCCACCTCCTCGCCTCCAGTCTCTGCCAAAATACCAGAGCCAGGTGAGCTGTCATAGTGGCTGGTTTTATTATATGAAAAACAAAAGACGCATTGAAAAAGACAGGAAGGATAGGGTTGCCATTGCCTGCCTTTTCCCAGCATCAGGAGAGAAAAGTACAAAGTCTGGGATTTAGATTTAAAACCAGTCCTCAGCAGACTTGCCTACTCCTGCCTCAAGGCCAGATTCTGCAGGCTGAGCCACTGGAACTGTGTTATCAAGGGTGCAAAGTGACTCTCTTTGCCATGTTCCTTAACTAAAGCATAGAGGGAAGCAATACTCTATTCTCTGGGGAGCAGGGTATATGGCTTTGCCTTAGAGCTTGATGTTGGACATGTTCTGATGAACCCTTGCGGCAGGCAAAAGCTGTAGGTCCCTAGCACAGGCCATAGCTCCCAGACAGATCTCCTATGTCCACTCTGATGCCAGGCAGAGATCTGTGTGCTGGTGGGATAGGGTTTGGGCCTGTGTCAGAGTGGCCCTAGGATGACCCCCTCCCTAAGAGTGTGCAGATCACTGATCGGGTTAAACTGTGGTACAAACCAGCTTAATGTCACCCTTGAAGGTCAAGGGACTTGTCTTCACCTACATTACTTCTACTCTATGCTGTGGAGCAAGACTCCATTCTCTAGGACTAGAATAGGGTAGTAAGCATAGGACTTCATCTTGGAATCAGTGCCAGGCTGGTAGAACCTAACATTAAACAGATCCTACTGCCCCCATTTCAGGACAGAGCTCATGGATGGAACATCTGGAACAGCCTTAGTGTCAGACATCAGTCTTTGGGACTTCTATCCTGGCCAGCATCACCGATGGCTGTGGGGATCTTTAGCTGTCAGCTCACTTCAGCAATAGCCAGTCCATAGTGCTGTGGGCCTTGGTCCCATCCCAGGGTTGTGTTCAGCAGGGTCTCAGCAGGTTGTGAGCTTGCAGTGTGCCACAGCATTGTGGCATTGGTGGTGGTAGGTATGGTATATGAGCCAGAGTCTAGTCCATCTGTGGTGATTCTACCCAGTCCACACAGAATCTTACAGTGTCTGACTACAGCCTAGTCACTCTGAATGAAGCATCTGGTTGTACCCATGGCCCAAGAGGCTCATGGGGAAGGACTGTTCCTTCCCAGGTCCTTCTCTAGTTCATGCTGAACATGCAAACTACAGATTTGAGGTAGATCTGCACTTTGATCTTTCTCCAGCAGTCAACCAACAACAACACATCAATGGCAACCTCACAAAACCCCCTGAACTTTGGTCTCCAATTATTGCCGAAATAATGGGAGTGTCTACAGGCTCAGAGGTGGTTTGGGAGAAGTAGCCTACTTAGAGTTTCTGGAAATATTTACACAAACAAAGTCATGTTTCAAACTCTAGAATAAATACATACACCTTTAGAGTTTATAGGCTGTTACAGAGCAGCAAGCATCAAGAACACTAGGAAGCCATGATGCCACCTAACATTCAAGGTAAAATTCTAGAAGCCAACTGAATAGTATAAGGGAACTCTTGGATGGAAAATGTAAAAAAAGCCACTTTAAGGAGATGAAATGAGCTTAAAAGAGAACAAAGAGAAATGATATTTTAAAAGAGAAATTTAACAGAAATGGAAGTGATAAATTCTAAGAAAGTAATCTTTGAGCTAGAGAGAGAGAGAGAGAGAGAGAGAGAGAGAGAGAGAGAGAGAGAGAGGGAGAAAAATTTTTAAATGCAATAAAAGGCGTTGATATCAGAACAGGGCAAAGGAAAGAAAGTATTAGTGAACTTAAGAGAACAAAGAAGAGAGAAGAAAATGGGGCCTTTGGGGCAGCATTACAAGAGTATTTGAACTGTTTGGGTTCAAGAAGTGCTTAACAATGACAAAGGTTTAGAACACTTATTCAAAGAGATGGTGACATAAAATTTTCCAAATCTGAAGAACACAAATACCCAGTATGAGGAAGTCAGAGAGCTCTTATTAGGCCACTGAGATGGCTTGGTGACCCAGGGCACTTGCTAAGACCGACAGCCTGAGTTCAGTCCCCCAGGCCCTACATGTGGAAGAGAAAAGACTTGTTCCTAGACAAGAAAAGCTTGAGAGAATACATCCCTCAGATTTTACCAGACTTGTCTAACCAGAAATTCCAAAGAGAGTTCTTTAAATTAAAGGAAAGACACAGTAACAAGCAAAAAGAAAACACTAGAAGACTGTGCTGGCTAGTTTTATATCAACTTTAGAAAAGTTAAAATCACCAGAGAGGAGTCTCAATTGAGAAAATGCCTCCATAAGATCAGGTAGACAAGTGAGTAGGTTATTTTCTTAATTAGTGATTAATGTGGGAGAACATTGTGGATGGTGTCACCCTGGACTGTGGTCCCGGGTTCTATAAGAAAGTAGGCTGAGAAGCAATGGGGAGCAAGTCAGTGAGCAGCACCCACTCCCATGGCCTCTGCTTCAGCGCCTGCATCTAGGTTCCGCCCTGCTTG